GGCTCTATTGATTATATAGTGAAAATACATTGTACATTAAATCTTTGAAAATTTTCTTCTCTGTCTCTGGGTATGAAGCAGATGAACTACCTATATAGTTATGATGAACAAGGGCCCTAATCTTGCAGAATTGTGAATTTCAAGGCCCCAGGGTCAGGGGTGGGGGGGTGGGGGGCTCTACTTATATACTGAAAATGAATTAATTGTTTGAAATCTGGTCCTTTGTATTTATAAAACATTTATTTACTTTTTGATAGGCAATTTTAAGGGTGCCTTTTAAAAATTTGTGCAACCTAGGGTCAGGGGTTTATGTGAGAGTGTTAGGGGCACTACTGATTATTGATTAATATTACTGATTAGTTGGAGTGCATTTTTGTTCCCCTACCCTGCTTATGGGTATTCAGTAACCAAGCTAAGCAACTGCTAAGTTTATTATTATGATGATCAATGGTGCCCTTTCAAAATTGTGAATGCCATATAGCATCTGGCTTAAAACATGAATCAAATTCAATACACTGTAACTGGAAAGTTGTTGCATAATGCTCAGGTGACCTATAAGGCCCGTGGGCCTCTTGTTCATTTTAAGATTGATCGACCTTTAATCCATATACTACCCAGCTTAGATCAGTTTTAAGCACTGGGTTAAATGAATTATAATTATACTTGAAAATTCTGTGAAAATGTATGTGAATGGAGAAATGGTCAATGGATTGAGAATTATATCTCTTACACCAAAGGATTTCACTGCAGAGAATGATTGATATAAGAGAGTGATCATGAATCGAACTTGGTGTTTTTTAATGTTGGAATGGTGTGCTATTGTCTATTGAACAATAATGTCAAACCTGGAATTCAAAATACTGTGAAACAAGATGTTTATACATGTAATGTTTCAATATGAGACTGTGTTTAGATGTTTTCAAAGACTTGTGAATTTGCTAATTATAATTTTAAAAATTCAAATTTAGTGGTTTATTGATGATTTAATTGTTACTTATGCTTTGTTAGTATTTTGTTAGAGTGTTTTGTTAGCCTCATTTGCATGTGATTTTCTATACTAATGGAATACTATCAAAACACAGTGTTTTGTTAGTAGTTTGTTAGAGTGTTTCGTAAGTATTTTGTTAAAGCGTTTTGTTAGTAGTTTGTTAGAGTGTTTTCAAAGTAACTTGTTATAGTGTTTTGTTAGCTCATTTGCATGTGATTTGCTATACTATCAAAACACTTTCAAAACATATGTTTTGTAAGTAGTTTGTTATAGTATTTTGTTTCCCCCTTTTTTTCATTTGGGTATATTTATGTTCTAAATCTTTATACAATTTTATCGAAACTTGCAACACAATACTGTCGTTTTCTAATACTAAGTTTATTTGCAAAGCAAGTATTTTGTGCTGAGGTAAATGATGTATGCTTTAAGTAAACATGTAAGATATAGGCAAAAGTTACAACACTTACAACTTCCAGCAATACTTTATCTGATAATTTTCTGTTATGAAACTTCAGTTTGATTCAATAGAATAATTTTATCACTATGTTGAGATTGTTATTCTAAAAACCTGAATTTTTTTTTTAAATTATGATTTTACTACGACTTTTAAGTAAGTAACACCATGGACATTTATTGTTGAGTCCATGTACATATAATGTTTTTTTTGGTTTATGTTAATAGAATTCTTTGTGCTTTAACATCGTTTATGCATCTATGATGTTTGAATGCTAAAATAAAACTTTAAAAAGTTTAGATCGCCACATTTATTTTTGCAAAAAACTGGTGGTGGAATTTGGACAAATTTTGAAAATGACTCATACATACAATGTCATGCATGGTTTAAACTTAACTAAAATTTCCACTAGCCAGGTGGTTTCCTAAAGTTTCAAATTTAGGAGCTTACAGCTAAATCTACAATCTCTGTGATTTTTGAACCCTTTGAATATATCACTGGGTCAATTAATTAAAGTCTAGATATAAAATACACATGTGCATTTGTTTAAAATGAAAATTGAAGTTCAAATCACTTTGTAAAATAAATTTCACATAAGTATTTCATCATAGAAAATGAAATTGAATTAACAATTTTACTATCCTTTTTTGCAAGGTTATATTCTTAATCCCCTTTTCCTGGTCATTGGACTATACCATCACATGAATAAGATATTTTTTTTAATTTAAATACTTTTGAAACTTATCTGGAATAAGTAGAAGCCTAATAACACTTCAATTTCATAAGACTGAGTAATTGGGAATACTTTAATTGGATATCTAACATGTATAACCGATACACAGAGGAATGGAGGAAATTCGGATTAGAAAAAAGACTATCGTTTTCAAGATTTCACAAATCATGAAAAACAGGTAAATGGATTGGATTAGGGTATTAACGAACAATAGGGCCATGTTACTTTTATTTTTTAATTGATTGGAAGTTTTAAGGAAAAAAAATGAGGAAAAGCGTCTGTTTTAGTAAGGGGACTGGAATGGTCCTGCAGATTTTTAATTCGCGAAGGGGCGAACAAGTTATAAATATTATGAGCCTACACAAAAATTTACTTGTGGTTCCTAATAGCACTTTTGCTTCGTGCAAGTTGGCAAGTATTAAAAGCACATGCCAATTTTTCTTTCATTAAGAAGAAATATATTTTAAACTAAAAATAATTAATTCTGGAATGTACTTTATTAGAAGTATTAGTATGTTTCCGATGATCGATTATGAAAAATTATAATCGATCATCGGAATCGGTAACATTTTTTCGTCGACAATCGATGTTTTCCGATTATCGGTACAACACTAATTATGCCTATGTTCTAAGTACATATCACATATTAAGTACATATTAATGATGATGATGAAAGGTGCCTCTTTCAGAATGGTCATTTTCAGGACCCCTGTGTCAGGGTACTTTGGGTTGGGGTGCGGTGGGGGTTACATAGTCTGAAAATAAATTAGTGCTTTGAAATATGCTTTTTGGTATTAATAAACCATTTATTATTAAATAAAATTTATGATCACATTTTCAGAATTTTGAAATATGTGCCCCCAGGGTCAGTGATTCCCTTTGGGTGGGGTGCAGAAGTGGAAATGCAATTTCTCTTTGTTCTTCTGATCTAGCTCTGGGTATTAAGAAAGCAAGCTAAGTGTATAGTTATGATAAGCAATTAGTGCTTCTTTCAAAATTTTGAATTTAATAGCCTTTGATTTAAAACACGAATCAATTCAATTGTTGGAAAGTGGTGACCTAAAAGGCTCTTGTTAAGTTTTACAATACAAGATTTTCAAATAAATAATTCAGCAATGAAATTGTTGTCAATGATTATTACCCCACCAAAAGTTAGAGATATTACTCTGTTAGGAAGCGGAAGCATGTGTTTTGCGTTTTTCTTTAAAGGTACTTGGACACAGATTTGAAGTTATAATTTTCTCTATGATATTACGACTTAAATATTTTAATAGCATTTCACACAAAAATAATTAAAAATCTTATTTCATTTAAAAGATATTGAAATTTCAAATTTTTCGGCGGGTTTGATTGACATATCCTTGCACTCTCACAGTTTTATTTTATTCTTAATCCTTAGGAAAAGTGGCAATCTCGTTTTGTATAAATGAAAAATATTAATACTATAATCCAGAAAATTCAGAGTAGACACGTTCGAAAGCAAAACAAACACTCAATTTAGAACCTCACCCGCTTTTTCCTCCAATCAGCAGCTGCTAAATTTTCTATTAAGTAGATCACTTAATTGTTAAGATTTTTTGTCTGTGCAGTAACTCTGCGCGCTGACTTATTAGCCAATCAAAATAGGTTCTAAGTAAGTTAGATCATATTAAGTAAAATTTTAGTGGTTAAGAAGGGCTCGGTCGCTTCGCTCCCCCCGCCCCTTCTTACATGTAACAATTAAAATTTTAGTGATTTAAAAAGATCTAACTATTACATATTGTCAGTCAGTGCATTTGTAGTATGCAGACTGTGACGATTGAACCCACCCGGTGAATTCTAAATATAAACAATAACAGAACTCGAGCCCTGTTTACAAAAACTGTGTACAGTCCCACAGCGGTCCCACATCAGTCCCAGGGACTGCTTTCTGGGACTGCTTTGGTGTCAGGTTGGGTCTGGTCGGTACTGTACATGTAAAGAAAATTAAACGTGAATTAATTATTTTCCAACAGAAGATCTGAAGCTTTAATTATATCTTATCATTATTTGGCCAATTTAGACTATAAGGATACTCTTAAGTTTTCTTAAGTATTGGGACTTTTAAAAAAATTCTTTGTTTATTTTGCCAAGCATTATCTTTATGTCATTGTTTTTTTTTTTACTGACATGTCAATTTTTAAAATTATCGTTAATGCCTAGTTCTATAAACTCAGTTTTAAGTGTTTTATATGTAAATATTGGAGTGTACATCTGTATATCACCAGAATGGAAGCTTCAGATTATGTTCAAAATTAATTAATTCCGAAAGAAAATTATACACATTTCATTTATCAAATTTTTTCGCATTAAATAAATTGAAATTAGGGTCATTGTTTACCAGGATGTTCAATGATGTGTAACACTGATACAAATACCCAAATAACATGTATCGATTTTTCTGCCCAAAGGCGATTGAAACAATGTTGATACCATCTTATAAACTTTAATCAGCCGGGTAAACACTAGCAAAACGAAAAAAAAATCACAATCAATTTCCGGTATTTTCATTGAAAAAATATAAAATAAATATACTCTTCTAATAACTTGTTTATTAAATAAAAGCTACCGGTAATTCATTTATTCCCCAATGATTATTCACATACTTTATGTTACGGGAGAATGCATGGTAGCATAAATTATTTTATTTCATGGTCATTTAATAAATTGTTGGGTTTTATTTGAGAGGTAAATGGAATACTCTTTTTTTTAGCGTGTTCCTTATAAAATGAGTAGCCTTTTTAGCTCACCTGAGCCGAAGGCTCAAGTGAGCTTTTCTGATCACATTTTGTCCGTTGTCCGTCCGTCTGTCTGTCTGTCCGTCTAGCTGTTCTTACGAGAGGTACATTGTGGGGTAAAATTAACGTATTTTCCAGCAGTGTGGGGTTTTTTGGGTACTGTGGGGTTAACCCCATAATGAAGAGGTCTAATTACGTTCAAAATTACTCTATGAGGTCGAAAAACCTAAAATTAGATTTAACCTCACAAAGACTTTGTCCAAATTTTGGACATGTCCTTAGCCCAAAACGCTCAGACATTCAGAAATCTGCTGTTTAGAGGAGTTCGGTAATTGAATCGAGGAGTTCCGAATACCTGAGCATGCGCATATATTTAAAACTAACTGCGCATGCGCAGATAACGGAAGTAGCTGTGTTTGGACACTTTGTATTAGCAGTGAGGAAATTCGGAAACACAAAAAGCAAATGCAGTAAGTCTTACTATTTTGTTGCACCACATTGAAAAAAAGCTTTGTAAATTGTTTGACATGCTTCATACGTACATTATGCAGTTGTAGAATTTATTTAAAGTCAAGGAAAGGACATCTGTAGTCCACATAAACACATACCTATTGAAAACGGGCTTTTGTGAAAAAAATTATAATGAATGCACTGATAGTTCTTTTTTTAATTTTTAATGCAATGAAAATCGACCGATACCCGGGGGTCGGGCTAGTGGTTTTCTGCATGAAGGTCGCCCCGTTGGCCAGTAAAAAAAAGATAATATTATTTATGCACATGCAATACGTGCATGCAAAGCACACCTGGTACGTATTTTCACTCGTCTTTTGCTATAAAAATCCAAGCCATTTAAATTTTCCATATAACATGCTCCAACTGTCAATAAATCTCCATAATTTAATCCGTATTTGAGTACTACTTGGCTTATTTACTTAAAAAAAAAAACGATCGTGTTTTTTTCTTAATTCGAATTTTCTCTATATCTATGGTAAATACATGCAGATATCTCATAACATAAATACATGTGATTCTTCCGACGGGAGAAAAAATCTCTGGATTTTTCACGCCTGTTCCGCCCCTCCCGATTAATTTTTAAATCTTCCGTGTTTAAATTTTTTCAAATTGAATATTTTTGGCTTTAATTTTATCCTGTTTCGTAATGTAATTGCTCTCTCTCTCTCTCTCTCTCTCTCTCTCTCTCTCTCTCTCTCTCTCTCACTCTCTCTGAATTCATTCTAGATACGTACCAATTGTTTATCTACTCTTCACACATTTGTTTACATGTACTTGTAATCGTACCTTAATCTATAGAGAGAAAATCAGAATGGAAAAATGGAATTAACAATGTCACTGCAATGAATTTTCACAGCAAGTAGGCTTTGTAGGAATCAACATGGGGTTGTATAATTAGGTTGTAAAATTTAGTGGTATATCAATTTGATAAATGACAATCAATGTTTATAAATGAGTGCAGGACATTTTAATCAGTTGTTAAAATACCCATTATGTCACATTTTTTTTTCACATTCGCTTGTGTAATTATGTGCCCGATAATAAAATTCACCTATTAAAGAAATTAAACAAATTACCTTTAGATACGTATATAAAATTATATAACTCTGTTTGTGTTAATGGAAAAAATATAATTGTCATGTTAGATCAATTTGTACTTATTTTTCAAGATCGACGATTGAAAATTTAAAAGAATTAAATCACAATTAATAGTTTTTCCATAGCTAAACTTAAAGAAATTCAAGCTTAAAGCTACATTTTGTAATTTACAATATTCATTCATCATTACTTTGAATATTTACAGTGAGAGTATGTGACTTAGCTAATACAGGGCTATCAGTATTTTCACACCTGTTAGATTTTGATTCCGTGTAGAAGCTCTAATTGCAATTTTTGTCAAAACAAATGTTTTGTATAGCATGATTATCTCGTGAATTTCACTATCAGGAGACCATCGATAGGGATTAGTTACGCTCTACTGCACTTGACACCTGTGTTGTGTAGAATGATTTTAAACTGCGTAAATACAAATCTTTGGTCAATTGAATAATTTTTTGTGTGTGTCTGCATGTTAGATAGAAATTCTGACAGCTTTATAAGAATAATATTAAAAATTTACCAGACTCTAAAAGCTTCAGCAAACTAGTTGATCGAGGATTAATTGAAGGGGGGGGGGGGGGTTACACTGCTGATCATTACCTGAACATATGATAGTGAAGTTTTTAAATGGATTTTATTGACACTTACTAAAATAAATTTTCATACTTTTAATTCACCATTAAACTGTCTTTTAATAGCTTGTGTATTTTTTCTTATTAAAAAAAATAGATAGTAGTAAGGCACATGTATTTCTTCTTGAATGATACTGTAATTCAATTATCATATATTTGAATGTAACAAAAGAACACTCTGAGTTCCCGAAACTAGTCAAAAATATGTCGGACAATTGTCTTGTAAATATTCAAAATTCACCGGACAGTTGTAAAATTTACCTGACATTAATTTTTTGTATGTAAATTTAACATATTATAGGATTGGAAATTGTGTCGATATAATAAATAATATGTGTAAATAAAAAGATGGCAAATGCAGATTTAAAAAAAAATGATTAAAATATTTTCTATAAGGCCTGTGTATGCAGGATTTGACGTCGCCGACGGCGTGTGATGACCAACGCTTAATTCATCGTATAAAATTATTATGTCCTTTCTGACAGACTTTTAAAAATTTTTTTTAAAATAAAATCTGCAACATGACAACTCTTGGTTGATTGTTTGGAATTAATGGGAAATATATGTTGTTTTCCAGGCTTTTTTCTTTTGGATTTAGGATTTTGGTATTTTATGTGCCAGGAAAAATATTACGTAAAATATCAAACTCGTTTTAAAAAGCCTGGAAAACGTCCGATATTTCTGACTAGTTAAAATTTATTATATAACCTCCACACAGTTAAAAATATGTACTAATGATATAAAGATATGCAAATTTATCATGCAAATGATGATTTAAGTGAATTTGTTGTCGTTTTATTACATTCAAGTCTGTCCGCTATTTTTAGAAAAGGGGAAAAACGCGCATGTATTTTAAATGCTATCAAATACATTTAAAAAAATTCAGAAGTTGGTATAATATTATCATGCTAATAGATTAAATTATAGAGAAAATAATAAATGGTAACAAATTGTCTGTAATCAAGCAGAAATAGCAGGCAACTCTTGCAACCCTGCAAATTCGTCCTTCAAAACGAAAGTAGATTGTCACATTTTTTTACTGTCAGAACTACAGAGTGCATATATTTATCAGAGGGAAAATATTTGTTTGACAGTGTTTTTAAAACTGTTTTCCTCCCAGACTTATGGAAATTTTAATATGTAGCTTTTTATAGTAGACAATTTTACACATTTTATTTAAACAAGATCTGGCGCGCCCCTGACGTTTTTTTTCATTCCTTTAGTTTTGCATTTGTTTATTGTCAGGACAATTGAATTAAATGATTTTGTTAAGATTATATGTAAACGTTATACAGTCTGTAAAAAAAAAAAAACCATCAGACATTTTGACCGATAAAATTAAGATTTTACCGGTCCCATTCAAAGTTAACGGGGATCCCTAGTGGACCGGTGCGTTTCGGGAACTCTGAACACTTATGAATGTATGAAGTTTAACTGTTTTGTAGGAACAGAAACATCAGTGGCGTAGCTAGGCTGAAAATGAAGTGCATGCTCCAATTTGCAAGGGTCTGGGGGCCGCCCTGAGGCCCCGAGTGGGTCCAGGGCACAGCCCTGGTGGGGGCCCAGGGGGCGAAGCCCCCGGAAGCTCCTGGATTCTGACGATTTAAACACAAAATTTTCGGCGATCTTTTTATCCGCAAAAATTACGAAAAAAAAGAATATTACATAAGGTAATAAATAAAATTAACGTGGCTCAGAACAATCTACTTATTAATTCATCTTATAAAATAAATATTTTTGTAAATTCAACCCTAAAACTTAATTTCATTTGAGAAAATGAAATGCTCAATTTTTTACGGTAGCTGCCATAATGGTTTTCGAACTTACAGTGTCAGTGACTTTATTTTTTTTTTAAGTAGTAAAACTACGCAAGTGTACATGTAAAGAAAATTAGAAGAAACATAACTTTTGATACTACAGTTATAATTTAATTTGTACATGACTGAGAAGGAGTCAAGTCATAGAGTCTCATTATCTTTTTTTTCAAAATGATGTGCATGCTCGAGCATACAAGCATACATGGTAGCTACGCCACTGGTTACATGCACAAAACCTTAAAAATTTGGAATTTTTTAATTTGATATTTTTTAAATAAGCATGGATTAATATATATATACACACATACAAAGGTTTTGTGAAATTGACATGTTTAATTAAATCAACTGTAGTGGTTATTGCTGTTTATTTATTGACCGACTGGCTACTTCTTTGGCAAACTGGAATAAGAGGCCACCTGTCTAGTTTCTGGACTTCCCAAAGCTTAAAACAAGTTTGACTGTACTTTTTCACCTTTTTTCTTTTTTTTTCACCTTACCAATATAAGAAAGTAGTTCACAGTACATGACAACTATGCTATAAATAAATTTCGATGAATTTTAATTAGTAACTCGGAATTTTTGTGTGTGTTATAAATAAACATTTGCTTCTGTATTCCTTTGTAGAGTTCAGATACCACTGAAAGTGAACATCAGTGGAACTTTGATGATCTAGGCCACTCTATTGTTGCAGCAACACCAGCAGGCGTCGGACATTCATAAAGTTGAAAGAACAAACCTATGACTTGAACACACAATTTGTGATCTGAATATAGTTCACAAATTTAAGGAAAGCAACTATTAAAGACATCCAGATCGGTGGTTAGTACATGTTATAAGTGCCCATAAAATCAAGACAACAATATTATTTTACAATAAATTAAAACATAACCTGTAAAAAAATTCAACATTATCATTTAGAAATATATTATACTGTTGTTTTTTTTGACAGGTATACATGAAGTATGAGTTAAAGACTTTTCAGAAGAACAAGCACAATCCCGATTCATTTTTGCCATTGCCTTCTCCAAACGGCGACATTTAGGACCTGACTTACTTTTCAGAAAAAGAAGATGAATCGATTTTTGAAAGTTAATCTAAAAAGATAACATTTACATGGGTCGTGGATTTGAATTACATTTTCTTGATGGGCAACTAGTTTCAAGTATTTGGATGTCTATTCTCAAGTTACTGCAAACCTTAAATTAACTTCTTGATTATTAGTTAACTGTGAGACCGTGTTAACTTGAAGTAATCATTTTTTTAATTGAGCTATGTAATCTCTGATTACTTATGTTTATGAGTAGTGTTCAGCTTTAAGACAAAAGGATCTTTTATGAACATTGCAATCGGCATGGCGAATTTCTATACATTAACAGTCATACATGTAGTTTTCGTCTTTTTTAATTAGCGATCTCATTTTAAATGTGAGAAATAATTATTAAACTGAAATGTACATTTATGTTGTTTGATTTTAATTTTTTGAAAATTATAAATCAATTGCATGTTGGTTTTTTTTTTCATTTTATTTTAGGGGATGGGAGTGGGGGTGCAGCTCTAAGTTTGAGTATATTTTCCAAAAGGATGTACATCGTTATTTTTGTTTTAAGATCAATTTTAAAATGCAAAATGATGAGATATTAGACTACACTTTTTTTCTTAAAACTTCATTTTAATTAATAAATTTTGTTTAAAATAAGTAGCAATAACATGCAAGTTTTAGAGTTATTTGACAACTCACTATATACTTGGTTTTTTTTTTTTTACATCTATGAAGATTGTCTCAAATTTTGAGGTTTTTTTTTCTGTGTTCTACATTTATTGACATGTTTCTTATCTGTTCAACTTGTCGAATAACTGAAAAGTTTGATTAAATTTTTTTTAAAAAATCAGGATCATCTCTTTTATTTATTATTATTAATTTACAATGAAATTATGTATGCTTTTGATGCATAATGTACACTTCAAATTCATGCACCAGCAGATTCAAAGGAAAAATTATCATTAGAAATAAGCAGTAAAGATAAAGAGATTATCCAATTTAAAATAGTTTGAAAAATATTTAAAACAAATTTTCGAGTATGTTATCAAAATATGAAAAAGTATTATGAGTATTGTTTGGTATTTTTAATAGTAAAAAAAAAGGATATGACGTACTGGCAATCGCATCATCTCACTCAGGGTCTTTCCGTCAGAGTTTGGAAAAACAACCTCCAATGTATTAACATCACCTGATGTTAAAGGTTTTGCTTTTCTTGTTTTTTTTTCAAATATAGGATAGAGGAATTAAGAAGTCCCTTTTATAGTATATTTTATGTAATATCATAGCATAAACTCCATATTCCACAGATAAAAGGTCTTCATGCATTTATTTCGAAGATCATGAAAGGGGGGGGGTTGCCATGGCGTCTAACTAATACATTCGAGGTCGTTTGTCAGCTAGTCAGAAAGGCTCGAGAAGTTGCGATTGAACATAGTGGGGGTACTTGTTCTTTTATTACCAGTCCCTGGTAGAGTTTTTTGATATTAGAACATACTTGGGGTTTTCAAACACTTAAATTCATCTGGTTACTTGTATCTGTTACATGAGAACACAGAGGGGTTGTTTGTTTAACACTCTGAGGTTACTAAGATGTCTGATATTTTCTATCAGAACATATTGTGGTTCTTGTCTAACACTTTGTGGGGTTAATGTTATCTTTTATCTATATAAGAACATAATGGGGTTGTTACACGTTATGGGGTTAGTGTTGTCTATTATCTTTATGAGAGTACATAGTGGGGTTGTTGTCCTAACACTTTATGGGGTTAGTGTTGCCTACTATCTTTATGAGAGTACATAGTGGGGTTGCTATCCAAACACTTTATGGGGTTAATGTTGTCTGTTATCTTTATGAGAGTACATTGTGGGGTTGCTGTCCAAACACTTTATGGGGTTAGTGTTGTCTATTATCTTTATAAGAGTACTTAGTGGGGTTGTTGTCCTAACACTTTATGGGGTTAGTGTTGTCTATTATCTTTATGAGAGTACATAGTGGGGTTGCTGTCCAAACGCTTAATGGGGTTAGTGTTGTCTATTATCTTTATGAGAATACATAGTGGGGTTGCTGTCCAAACTCTTTATGGGGTTAGTGTTGTCTATTATCTTTATAACAGTACATAATGGGGTTGCTGTCCAAACTCTTTATGGGGTTAGTGTTGTCTATTATCTTTATGAGAATACATAGTGGGGTTGCTGTCCAAACACTTTATGGGGTTAGTGTTGTCTATTATCTTTATAACAGTACATAATGGGGTTGCTGTCCAAACTCTTTATGGGGTTAGTGTTGTCTATTATCTTTATGAGAGTACATAGTGGGGTTGCTGTCCAAACACTTTATGGGGTTAGTGTTGTCTATTATCTTTATAACAGTACATAGTGGGGTTGCTGTCCAAACACTTTATGGGGTTAGTGTTGTCTATTATCTTTATAAGAATACATAGTGGGGTTGCTGTCCAAACGCTTAATGGGGTTAGTGTTGTCTATTATCTTTTTAAGAGTACATACTGGGGTTGTTTGTCTTATAATTTATGGGGTTAGTGTTGTCTGTTATATCTATATAGCATAGTGGGGTTGTTTGTTTAACACTTCTGGGATATTCCTGTCTATCATCTTGTGAAAACATGATGAGTTAATTTACTTTGATGCAACAGTTATCCTCAAATAAAAACATTTTTTTGCATTGTTACTGCTATGCAGTTGTTGCAAAAATGTTATTGCTATATCCGTTCTAAGTTCTTCTGATAAACAGTAACAATTTTAAGTACTTATAATTAGTTGCCTGTGAAGTTGACTTGATATTAAATAATTAATTTTTAACCCCACAAACATAGATCTTTAACCCCACAAACATAGATCTTTAACCCCACAAATATAGACCTTTAACCCCACAATATACCATTTGTTTGAATTCCTAATGAAACCTCTCAAGTCACCACTCTACTATTAATAACCCCACAAAGCAAAATGATAACCCCGCACCTTCCGTAAAATGCACAATGTACCTCTCAACTGTATAGCTGTCTGTCTGTCCGTCTGTAAACTTTTCACATTTTCGACTTCTTCTCAAGAACCAATGGGCCAATTTTGACCAAACTTGGTACAAAGTATCCTTGGGTAAAGGGGAATCTAAATTGTGAAAATGAAGGGACATATCCCCTCGCAAGGGGAGATAATCAAGAAAAGACAAAAATAGGGTTGGGTCATAAAAAAATCTTCTTCTCAAGTACCACTGGGCCAGTAAAGCTGAAACTTATGTGGAAGCATCCTTGGGTAGTGTAGATTCTAAATTGTTCAAATCATGACCCCCGGGGGAAGGACAGGGCCACAATGGGGATTCAAAGTTTTACATAGAAATATATAGGAAAAATCTTTGAAAAACTTCTTCTCAAGTACCACTGGGCCAGAAAAGCTGAAACTTATGTGGAAGCATCCTGGGGTAGAGTAGATTCTAAATTGTTCAAATCATGACCCCCGGGGGAAGGGCGGGGTCACAATAGGGAATCAAAGTTTTACATAGAAATATATAGGAAAAATCTATGAAAATCTTCTTCTCAAGTACCACTGGACCAGTAAAGCTGAAACTTATGTGGAAGCATCCTGGGGTAGAGTAAATTCTTAATTGTTCAAATCAAGACCCCCGGGGGAAGGGCGGGGCCACAATGGGGAATCAAAGTTTTACATAGAAATATATATGAAAAATCTATGAAAATCTTCTTCTCAAGAACTCCTGGGCCAGAAAAGCTGAAACTTATGTGGAAGCATTCTGGGGTAGTGTAGATTCTAAATTGTTCAAATCATGACCCCCGGGGGAAGGTCGGGGCCACAATGGGGATTCAAAGTTTTACATAGAAATATATAGGAAAAATCTTTGAAAAACTTCTTCTCAAGTACCACTGGGCCAGAAAAGCTGAAACTTATGTGGAAGCATCCTGGGGTAGAGTAGATTCTAAATTGTTCAAATCATGACCAACGGGGTTTGGGCGGGGTCACAATAGGGAATCAAAGTTTTACATAGAAATATATAGGAAAAATCTATGAAAATCTTCTTCTCAAGTACCACTGGACCAGTAAAGCTGAAACTTATGTGGAAGCATCCTGGGGTAGAGTAGATTCTTAATTGTTCAAATCAAGACCCCCGGGGGAAGGACGGGGCCACAATGGGGAATCAAATATTTACATAGAAATATATATGAAAAATCTATGAAAATCTTCTTCTCAAGAACCACTGGGCCAGTAAAGCTGAAACTTATGTGGAAGCATCCTGGGGTAGAGTAGATTCTAAATTATTCAAATCATGACCCCCGGGGGTTGGACAGGGCCACAATGGGGAATCAAAGTTTTACATAGAAATATATAGGAAAAATCTATGAAAATCTTCTTCTCAAGTACCACTGGACCAGTAAAGCTGAAACTTATGTGGAAGCATCCTGGGGTAGAGTAGATTCTTAATTGTTCAAATCAAGACCCCCGGGGGAAGGACGGGGCCACAATGGGGAATCAAAGTTTTACATAGAAATATATATGAAAAATCTATGAAAATCTTCTTCTCAAGAACCACTGGGCCAGTAAAGCTGAAACTTATGTGGAAGCATCCTGGGGTAGAGTAGATTCTAAATTGTTCAAATCATGACCCCTGGGGGAAGGACAGGGCCACAATGGGGAATCAAAGTTTTACATAGAAATATATAGGAAAAATCTTTGAAAATCTTCTTCTCAAGTACCACTTGGCCAGTAAAGCTGAAACTTATGTGGAAGCATCCTGGGGTATTGTCGATTCTAAATTGTTCCAATCCTAACCCCCGGGGGAAGGGTGGGGCCACAATGGGGAATCAAAGTTTTACATAGAAATATATAGGAAAAATCTTTGAAAATCTTCTTCTCAAGAACCACTGGGCCAGTAAAGGTGAAACTTATTTGGAAGCACCCTGGTATAGTGTAGATTTTTAATTGTTCAAATCATGACCCCCGGGTGAAGGGCGGGGCCACAATGGGGTATCAAAGTTTTACATAGAAATATATAGGAAAAATCTTTGAAAATCTTCTTTTCAGGAACCACTGGGCCAGTAAAGCTGAAACATGTGTGTCCATTGAAGGATCAAGGGGTAGTGTAGATTTCAAAATGTCTAAATTGTGATCAGTGGGGTAGGGTAGGGATGCATAATGTATAACAAGGGGGAAATCTGGTAAAGAACAGAT